AGAACTTCAGCACTGCGAGGCAGTAATGATAACCAGTGTGTTACCAGCTGAAATAGTTGGGATTTGGTTTCCAATGGTCAGTACTCTGGAAACTACCCGCTAAGGGTAAGTCAGGGAGTAAGCCAGAAGTGGACGAACAGGAGTCATTTTTGTTTTGCCAGTAGCTCTTTTGGCCAGCAACACACACGCGGATCTGACAGAGTAAAGAGCAGCTGGCAGTGTATTTTGAAGAAAAGACTAAACAGCCGAGATGGTAATAAAAACAAAGAAATATAGTACCTTAGGTCTCCAAGCATTGACTCTTGCATTTAAATTCAAACGAGCCAAAGAAGGCTTCCAAGATGAAAATGTGGCATCTAAAAATGACGAAGCAGTGATTTGATTTGCAGGAATCAGGCCTTTCTCCATCCCCAAGGGCAATGAACAGCCTAATGAAGTAAAAAAAAGACATGATGTCCACCTCTCTCAGACACACAAAATAAAATACTGCTAAATGTGCTATATAACAAAACCTTTGGTAGAAAGCAGACCAATAACAACAACAACACTGCATTTAAAGGAAAAAAAACAAGTATGAATTATTCTTGCAATTTGTGACAAAATTTCATTTCACTCACAAAATGGGACCTAAAATCGGCAGTAGATTACCAAGAACAGAACTCCCTAATTTCAGAAATGCAAATATATTTAGAAATTAAAATAGAGTGAAAATTGTGTATTGGCTACCATGACACACTTGAACCTGAGGCAGCAAGTAGATAAGTATATTGTCCTTTCAACTCAAGAAGCAATTACAGCTTTAAGTAAATATTCTTTACAACTCTTCCATCTTTGCAGAGTTATTTTCAGGTCTTACTGTTCAGGTCACAGCCAATTAATTCCATGCGAAGTGTGGGACGCTTCTGAAAGTTCACGGGATGCAGTTTGATAAAGCGGCCTATTATAGGAGGGGAAAAATAGTTCTCCTTTATACTTGAGGAATCAAAATTTCCTCCAAATATCTGAAAGAAGCACACAGAAATGAGGAATTATAAAAAAGGAGGGAGTTTGACAGTTGCATACTTGATGTATCTTGTTATGCTTTAAAAGGCTACTGACCTCTTTATCTTTAACCTATTTCTGTTATTTTTTTGGACTCACAAAGAGGAATTCACAGTTCACATGCTGCACATGCATAGAGAGAGTTAGTTCTGAGAGCGTTAAAATGCCGTGTACACCATTTTGTGTTCTGAGTGTGATATCACGGAAGAAGGCAAACCCTGCTTCACATACAGTCTCTACACATTTCTATATTTCTATATGACTAAAAACTGAATACTTAAATGTGATAAAGTGAGGAAATGGCAAAAGAAATTAACACCAACAAGGAAATGGTGTTCATTAAAAAGTGTTCATTGTTATTCATTGAAAAATCACTGCCTGTTATTTAAGAAGCATGTGTCACATTTATGTGTTTGTTTCATTTACGTACACTTTCTTTGTTTAATATGCACATTATATGCTTTTAGTCGAGACTAGGTTATAAGCACCAGAAACTGCAGTTTATCTTTACCCATGAAAGGATTTTTTTTAAACATTAAAGAACAGCTTCAAATTAAAAGGATAAATATAAATATACAGTATACTGTATACCATAAATACAAGAGTGCAATATAAAAAGTAAATGTACATTACATAAGACACATGCCACATAAAATATACTTAATTTACCAATTATTTTAGAATAATAACTAAATGTGGAAGTATGAACAGATTTATATACCTCTTCAAAATTTGAATCTGGGCCTGTTCCTTCCCAAAATATCATGCATGAACTGTGTGTACATTGCCTTTTGGAAAATTCACCTGTTCTGAAATTGTGCTGTTCCCTTTGTAGGTTTTCCACACTTCACCATCCAAGCTGTGAGATATGACAAACTGAGAAATGAAACTCTCTGAGAAACGTTGTCTTGCACCCTGGGTTCTGATTCCATGTATTATTGTTGGTTTCAAGAGGTCAACCTAAAATGACAGTAATAAATTTAAACATTCGATTTGCATAAACTGGGCTTTTCCATCATGTCAGAGCCTGTTTCAGTAGCCAGATCACTTGAATAGTAGAGACTCCATATTCTAAGGTGATGAATTTCTTTCCTTTCTACTAATCATTTTCATTCTGATGCTTGCTGTTGTTTCTTATACTGCTTGAAAGAAACTAAAGTTACATATTGTAATTATGTTTGCTTCAAGGTTTCTGTTAGAAATAAAAAGTCCGATGAATGGGCATAGCTTTATTTTTCTTTATTTGTCATACTGATTTTAAAGAAGATCTTCTCTCTTTTACTGCTTTACCTGAATCCATGACGTCTTGTCCAGTCCACTCCAAGCATTAACCGAGCCAGACAATTCCAGTCTCGCCAACCCGGGCTTCCAATCATCTGTAAGAACAGAAATGAAAGGCACTTACAAAAATTTAAGAGGCTAATTATTGTGTAAGATCTCATAGTCTGTAAGCCTTCAAATTAAGTAATTTCTTATTACTTAAGATTTAGGGAAAAATCTTAAGACGAATCTAGGGAAGACTTCAACAAAACACAACTTGTTCTACAAAACAACTTTTTGGAACGTGCACTTCATTCTGTTGACAGATTTGTATGCTTGCCACATAACTATTGCTGCATTATATGTCCTTTACAAAAAGTCAAAATATGAATTACTTTATATGAAAAACCCACTGGAAAAACCAAGAGGAGCTTCCTGCTTTCTTAAGATGTGTTCCAGAACACCAATGCACATCCTTCCTCTGTGTTTATCTCCCCTGTGACCTGATCAATAACCCTTACCATAATTTCCAGAGGAGATGATCTGAGAGTCAGTTATCCTCCCGGTCTGCATCCCCAGAGGTTGGGCACATCCTGAAGCGAGACACCTTCAGGTAAACCTTGGAAGAAACTGCCTCAACAACAGTATATTTTGTTTTACAAAGTCATTTTAAAAATCCAATTACAAATACAATTACCCTGCAGATGGAATTTAAAGCAAAATACAATCTCCCTTCAGCCAACTCTTTCAAAATACTATGATTATCCCCTTTCTTAATTTACTACCCTTATTTCACAGGAATGTGGAAACACATGGGAGTTATAGCAAAGATTACATACTTGGATTGTAGACGAGGACCTTTGCTCTCATTCCTGACAGCTGGTATTCACCAATCATGCACTCTACAAGCCAGGTTCCCACCATTGCTGGCCTCATTTCGACTGTTCCAAAGACACCTGGGAAGAAAAAGGCATTCTGAGCTAAAGCATGAGTTGAGTCTTACTCTAGTTTCCAATCCATACTTATACACAAATGGAATGAATGAAACATTAGCTGTAAGTAGTACAAGTTCAATAACATAAAAAAAGATGCAGAATATTAAATTGAATCACAATCGTGATTAATTTATATATTTCCATTCTTACTTAAATGTACTTCTATTTTTTGTGAAAGTGTCCTCACCAGGATATAGGGTGTAGACTCCCATCCTGTGTTCCTGGTCAGTTCGTTCTGTGAAGGGGTTCCCGTGAAAGTGTACAGAATGAACTTCACCACTGCTGCCCATGTTAAGCAGATGCCAACGGACAGTGTGATACTGTGCCACTACGAGGCCTGGGAGAGTCTCTGCAACATACCCATTGATCGCTGAGGGAAGAGGATTGGATTGACAGATTGGATTTGGTCAGTGAAGATCAGACAAAAATTCCACCCCCTTAAACCATTATATTTCTGTGTATGATTAATATTAACACAAAGGATAATTATTTTTAGATTAAACTAAAAGCACAAAAGAGTGCTTGGTTCTAGTCAATGCCTTATTGACACATGAAAGGTATTTTCTACAGCCTTTATATTTGAGAACAGGAGCCACCTGTTGGTTGAGGGAATCTGGAATAAGTTGCTCAGCCATGTTGTCAAAGTTCATACTATTCTTTTCTCAGGAAATGTCTGGATGAGATCCTCAGATCAATTAGCAACTAGTAACCAAAAGAGTTACATTGCCCGTTGTTGTTTTGCACATTCCCTGTTGTCTCTGTCTTTCTTTTCTTATACAATTGTATTGTTTTTTTTTGTACTACTTACTGTCTTAGAGCTAGCTAAATAGCATTTGGTTATACCATATACCTGTGTATGAGTATAATGACAATAAACTTGAACTTGATATGGGCCAAATAATCTCTCATTTACAAACTTCATATTAATGATGTAATTAATAATTTACCAAAGGCTAATAAGAACCTAGTCAACATTCATAGAGGGATTGTCCAGTGTTCAGTGCCAGTATGCTGTTCATGCCTAACATTCTTTAGAGGCATTTCCTATTCTAAAAGGTAAGCTAAAATACTTTCATTTAGACATATATTCAACCAACTACAACAGACTCTACATTTAAACTGATGGCACCAGGTGTCTGATCACATAAAAACTAACAATGACATTACTGGGCAGTGCAGGAGGCTTTATTGAAGATCTGCAAGTCTTTACTGCAAAAAAACCTAGCAGCCTGCTACTTAACCAAAAACAATCACCAGCTATCACTCTAAGGCCCTTCATATTCCCAAACATACCAATAATTAACCCCATGTAAGAATGTGGAATTAAACACCACCAATGATCAAACATGAACTAATTACAACCCTGTGTGTCTATGTAATAAAGGACAAAAGTCTTTGGCTGCCTCTAGCAGGTCGGCAGGTCTCTTGTACTCATCCAAATAAGTAATAAAAGGTCATAAATATTTCCTATATTGATCACTCTTGATCGATTACTTCCTTCGATCTCCATATTTTAAAGCTGTAATATACAAATGACTTGTATAGAACGGTACCAGTTAACTAAGCCTGAATGAAACCTTACAATAAGAATGTTGTTTTATTTTTCCTCATGTAAATTGAATCTACTAATGTAAATAAAAAATGTTGGAATACATTTTCCTACATTGGTGGAAATTGGTGAAAAACATAGTTTCTTTTTAAAACTCTGACACAAAAACTTTCCGATATAAAACTGCCTTCTGCATTGTGAACCATTCATCCCGCTGAAATTAGGTTTTTACTGTAATGACTGTAACTATCGTCTTACCAGAAAATGTGTTGGTCTTTTGAAAAAGGGGATCATTTCTTTTAGCCTTGCAGGGTGGCAAACAGAAATTCTTGATGTTCTCATCCATGTACCAGCTCTTGGTTTCATCGAACATAGTGAAGAGAAGGGTGAACTCCTGAATACCTAGTTGACGCTCATAAACCCTGCTGAGGGTATTGGGTTTGCAGATCAACAGAGGACCAATCAGGCCAGAGTTGATATCCTTCTCCTGTCACACAAAAATACACAAGTATATGGGTGCCAGAAAACCAACTCCAAAACCAACAAGATCCTTCAAATCAAGTTCAGAGCTTTATGGTCGTCCAATTCAGGGTTTGGGATGGGGGGCAGCTGGAGCTTTGTGAAGTTTCCAAAGTTTCCAAAGAGTCAAAAGTTTTATCATTAATCATATTTTCTATTCCAGATTATTTTTATTTTGTCTTCAGAAAACAGAGCCTAGTGTTTTATAAATGTGGTAAAATAAAAAAGGATAAAGTTTCAAAGGCTAATTGAAAGCAAAACAATTATTCCCATTTTGAAATTTATGAAGAAGGCTCCCCTAGAACATATGTAATTTTGGCCAGAAAATTTTGAACAACTTCTTTCAATGTTTAGGACATCATGGTTTCCATGGTCTAGCCATGTTCTTCGATACTTCGATAAAAGCCGTAAGCAAACCTACCATATTGAGGTTGGAGTAATATGCCCAGGCTTTGCAGTCAAACTCCTTTGCAGAAGGACCCTGTGTCCTGGTGACTTTCCAGCTGTATGTTTGTATCTCATTCGGCTGCACAGCCTCTTCATTGTCTCCTCCAGCCTTCCCATGAAGCTCATTTTGCATTTTATCATAAACACCATGAAGATGGAAAGAATAGGGTCTGGAAGCCAGATTCTTAAAAGTGACCTTAAAAAAACAATATCTAAAATAAAAAGCTGAAACTTCATGCTGGTAAATGCAAAGGTGTGTATACATGCTATACACTGTAGCCCTACAGTATGTTGCCAGAACTGAATCTCATAGAAATGTTGTGAGTTGGCTTTATTGGTTGCTGCTGCAGCAAGGAAGTCAAGTTCAATAGATAAACATAAAGTACAGTTTTCATGAATGTGAAAAGACCCACATGACCTATGTGTTTGATCAGTGCTAATGCTTTCATAAAAGTCAGTAAGAATCATAATAACAGTAAGCTGTCTTAAAATTTATTTTAAGGAAATCGATTGTGTAATTGCTTATGTAGGGCCAACGTTACAGAGGGGTGACAGCCCAAGGTCTATAACCAGGGGGGCACAGAGTTCAAGAGGGTGTGTACCCAACCTTCTATTATCAGAAAGCCTCTTACTCCAAAATAGAGTAGAGGCAACCTGGAGACTATCCTGGAAGCATAGGGCTGGACTACACCCTGGACACAAACACACAGTACACAAGGACAATATAGAGACATCAGTTAACCAAACCAGCACATCTATGGATGGAAATTGGAGCACCTGGTAAACAAAGAGAGAGGATGTAGACTCCGCAGAGAAGGTGCCCTGGTTCGTGTTCGAAAAGAGGGGCAATTAATGAAAAACAAATCTTGGGAAGAGGTGAAGAAAGCCAGTCCATCTCTGATAATTTGGCTTTACAAATTATCAGTCGGTAAACAGGAATGCAAATAATAAATAGGTCTGGAGTAGAAATATCCTGTTTAGGAGATACAGGCAGTCCTCAATTTAAATGCACAGATGCTGAAATATGCCATGTAACTGAAAAATGAGAACATTCTAAACTAATTTCCCATAAGAATGCATGTTAATAGAGTGTATTTGTTAAGGTTTCACTCTCAACTGGAGAGTTAAAATCCCCCCAAAATTAGACATTTTTAAACATGTCAAATGTTTATATATTTGTAGTTTTTAGACACATAAATGCGAGTTAATGTTTACCAATTTTATGTAAAATGTGAAAGGAAAATTGCTGTTAGTGGTGGGTAGTGCACAGTGTGGAAAATGCATGAGTCATGTTCCCATAGATGCAACTGAACTGCAGTAAATGTTGTTCCTTTGACTTTGTTCCTTATTTAGATTTCCTGATGGTTATTCATTGCACAGTGTTTTGTTTAATTGGTTCATTTATTCATTGTTATGGCTGACAGATTTTTGGCTTCATTGTTGTTTTGTTGTTTCTTTGTTTTTTAAATGACGTTAAATTAAAAGCATTTCATTTACAAATTCAATGCATTGTAAATTCATTTTAAATATTTTTCTTCACTCATTAACTTACCTGTACGGTTTAACAGATTTTTATTTGAGATTTTCTAGAATAAAAATATAAGGTACAGACTAGACAATAAAGGTTATAATTACTGCCAAAGATGCTTCCACCAGTGTTAAGTTAATGGGTTTCCATACTTATGCAATCAACATATTTAAGTTTTAGCTCTGTAGTTTTACCCTTAGAAATTTTCAGTTTGAGCAGTCAGGTTTGAATAAAATATTAAGTTTAAAAAATGTGTATGCATCAATTTGTAATGTCACAAAACAGGACACCATGGGAGAGGAATATTTTGCAAGACACTGTATATTTTTGTTAATATAATCATAATATTTATTTATTTCCAGCTTGAGTTTTACAACTGGTATTGTGTGTATATTACTTTTTTAATATATATTACAAACTGGATTGAGGTGTAAATATCAACTTGAAATTCTGGAAACAGTTGGAAGGTTGCATTTTAAGTCATAAATATGATTCGATTATGAAAATATTCATAAAAGTATAAAGTATTCACAAAAACAAACTAGCACATATAATTGAATTTGCATCGTAGTCTGGGCTCTAGGGAAGAGCTCTATCTCCTCTTTCTGTTAGCACTAACAGGGCTTGGGCTAAATAATAATAATAATAATAATAATAATAATAATAATAATAATAATAATAATAATGATTATGAATTTTTTTTACGTCTTGAAAGTGTACATCAAGAAATTAGGGAAAGAAAATGCAGTCGTGATCAGTGCTACTTTGCAGTGTTGGAACCCTGTCATCAATTCTGGACCTGGGGTGCTATCTGTGTGGAGTTTGCATGTTCTCCCCCATGTTAGTGTGGGTTGTTTGCCCAGTGCTCTAGCTTCCTCCCACAGTCCAAAGCTGTACTGGTAGGTTAATTGGATTCTGGGAAAACTGGCCCTGGTGTGAGCATGTGCATATCTGTGTTCTGTCTGCCCTGCAATGGAATGGAGTCAAACTTTGTACACTGATTTGGTGCAATCCTTTTTGGCAGATTTCCCTAAGTTGCCTCACGTTGCTCATTGACAGCGGTTTTCATGTCTTTCCTCAGATTCTCAGTAGGACTCAGGTAAGGACTTTGACTTGGCCACTCAAGGACAATCACTGTCCAGTTCTTAAGCACTTCTTTGACTCTGTGCTTTGGGTCATTGTCCTGATGAAAGGTCAATTTTGTCCCAGTTTTAGGTCTGAAGAGGTTTTCCTCTAACATTACTAGCATCTAACCTCTAACATTAGTCTACCTATTCTCCCATTAGATTTGACAAACATCCCAGGCCCTGATGATGAGAAGCATAACTATAATATAATGCTGCCACCACCACACTTGACAGTAAGGATGGTGTGGAGTGAGTGATGCACTATGTTGGGATTGCATCAGATGCAATGCTTTGACAAAAAAGCTCTGATTTGGTTTGGTCTGACCACAAAACCCTTTGCCACATGGATCATTTGCGGTATCATTTAAGTGCTTGGTTGGAAACTCCAAGAGGGGCTTGTAGTTGGTTTTCCATTCTTCTACACAGGCAAGCTTTGTAGAGTAACAGTGATATTGTTGACTGATCCGCATTTTCTCCCATCTCTGCCATTGAACTATCTTTTAGAGCTCTTTCAAAGCCAACACTGGTCTCATAGTTTCATCCCTCACCTGTTTCCTCCTTGGGTGTTCAGTGTGGAAGGACAGTCTGATCTTGTTGGTGCTTGGCTATTATAATACACCTTCCAATTCTTAATTATTGACTTCATGGTGCTCAAAGGGATGTTTAGTGTGCCCATATTTTGATCTGTGCCAACTTTATCCCTGAGTTATATTGAAAACCCCTTAGTCTTCATTGATTCTTTGCTTGAAATTCACTGCCTGGGTGATGGAACTTATAGAGACAGATGTATTTATTCTGAAATCATGTGAACAATTATTATTACTGTGGCTCATTAAGGTAAATTTGTGCATTTACATTAATTTAAATTTACAACAGCCAAGGGTTTGAATGCTTATGTAATTATAATTATATAGTTTCTTATTTTTGTCTTTTTGTTTTTAATGAGTGGAGTAGATTGTGTATATAACAATTATCAGTACATTAAAGTGTCAAGACTTTTTGTTTAAAACAACAAACATGTCCAGGATTATTGCTAATATTGTTGTGTGAGTCCATTCTTAGGAGCTTATTATCAAGAGATTTGTTTAATACTTTGCTTTTGTTTTTGTTTTCTGACAAAAAGTCAGATGTCTTGTAGTGATTTCCCAATGTACTTTCTTCTGGCTTAACATATTATCTGTACTTACAGTTATGATGTCATTGATTTCAGCTCTGATAACTGGCCCTAAAATTCCAAGGTGCTCTTCCAATTCCCCACGAGTCGCTTGCTGTTTGAAACTGCTGTCTACATATTTCCTGAACACCACTTTTTTGTATTCTGGGAAAAACTTCTGCCATCCCATTCTCATCTCTCTGTTGATGAAGATCAAAGATATTTATTATTGTCCACTGCACATGTATCAAGATTCCTACATGCCAAAACAAAGACGTATACAATAGATTTCTTTTTGATCAACATCATATTATCAAGTCTTGCAGTTCCTGCATATTTGATATTATCTTAAATCCATGCAGGTACAATATATTTTATGAAATTATGTTTCACCTTGAAGCACTGGGTTGTAAAATTGACAATTAAGGGTACCTATGGGGTGTTTGTTCTTGCAGTACTTCCAAGACATCTTTCTCATGTGTTATATAAAATTGGGAACTTTCTTCAGTAGAATGCATGATGTTTTTAATACAGTTAAATAAAGTCTTCTGTTTATACCTGAAGTAGTGTTAAAGTATAATTAAGTTTACATGTTATAAAATTGTTTTAAATGCACTTTATGTCCTGTATCTGGAAGAATTTTATACACAGGCCTCATATAAAATAAATATAAAACAAGCAATCATTCATTTTTGCATTATGTTTTGGAAAGCTTCAAATCATGTAGCTTACATTCAGTTTTAAAAATACTGTGTATTTTATGTTTCACCATTTGAACATTTTAACCTGGTGGTGTTATACAGTATCACTATCTTTAAAAAAGAAATGTTTCTTTGTAGGTAGATCAATAAATCACACATTTGGATGTTAAAAAACAAAAAGTAGCGGAACAATTATAAAATACAGTGACATACCTGGGTTTTATAAGTTGCTGTGGTTTTTTGATGCCATAATCCCACATCACTTCGACAGCAGCAATGAAAAAATTCCGTGATATCCCATCTGAAGAGCGTACATCTATACCTTCATCATCATTGCTATCAAAGTCATTCATTGTATCATTTTCCCCTTCATTATAATCATCATAATCAGAGACAATGCTTATGTTGGAATAGTTGAGATTTGGTTTCTCTTGTGTATGTTTTTGTGTGTCGTGTGAACTGTTAGTGCTTTTTTGCATTTTACCGGACATGCTGAAATTTTCCGGCTTGTGAGAGGGCTCGACTTCTAAGACCTGATTCTCATGTGGCTGCTCTGTAGTTTTTTTTACCTCAGATTTGTCCTCTTCTCCGGTGTCTCGTTTCAGCAAGTGCTTTCCACTTAACAACTTATATAGCTTAACACCCACAGGTGACTCTTCAAGTGTGTTGTAACTAGCCTGGCTGCCGTCTTTACTCAGGTAAGTAGTAGAAACTTTACTTGCATTGCTATATGGGGGAGCAGTGGTGATTTTCAGACTTTCTGACTGATCAGTTGTATCTCCTTCTCTTTTAATCTTTCTTCTGCTGTCCAGTAGCATTAGATTTTCATCAAGTGATGATTTCCCAATATCTTGCACCTTTATAGTGGGCGGCATGGTTACATTAGTGTGTTTTTTTAAGAGCTCTGTATTTTCTAACACCTCATCAGATTCTATGTGATGTATCACTAGAATCCTAGACCTATTGATGTGAATCTCATCAGAAAAAGGCAAAGACATATTCGTTGGATTCTCTTGGAATTCTGCACTGCTTGGCCGGATTTGATTAGGCTTCTCTTCTGGTCTGTTGGCATTTGGGCCTTGCTTAGAATCTGTTGAACTAACTGCAGTAAGAACCTGGTGCTTCTCAGAAGATGACACATTTTTTGTTAGCTCATCAGATCCAAATCTGTCCCATGAACCAGACCCTAGTTTTTCTTTAGCGACCACCTCACCCAGATCAGTCGGCTGAAGGTTAGGAGTTCTAATTTTGGTTATGCCTGTCTCATGCATTTGACTGTGGATGGATGTTAGAGGCAATGCAAAGTCTTCATCCATTGAAAAAGACTCTTCCATCTCTTCCAGGTTAACAGTACTGGTTGTACTCTCTTCTGGTGTGTCCCTTTTTTTCACTTTTTGTTGAGCTGCATTGACATTACTTAGCTTTTGTATGATCTCTGAACGAATATCCATTTGTTCTTTTAAAGTCCCTAGACGATTCCCTTTAAGAGTCACAATGTAGTTTTTTACTTCACAATTTGGCTTACTGGTCACTGCTGTGCCATCTATTGCTAGTTGTGATTTATTGCTGCGGGCTTTTTTGCACACTTTGATGGACAATGTCTTGTTTCTCCTGCCAGCTCCTCTGGGGGAAAACTCTTCATCAATGTAATACTCCAGGTCATAATCATAATCTCCTACAGGAGGATCACATTTCTTAACGATATATTTGGCACTCATACCTCGTTTTTTAAAATTGTCATTAAAAGCTCCTATCTCCCATTCACCTGCAAACACAAAAATTATAACCCCATTAGTATTAGTGCTAATGTAAGCAATTTGATTCTACACCTTATTGAAGGATTTCTAACAGTACAGTTGGTAATGTCATATCTGATTTTCTACATGTGACATATACTAGATGAGCAATCAGCAACAAAGTACTTTAGAGGCATATAGAATCAGTTTTTTTAAATACATGATTCTGACATGACATCTGACAGTTAAACCTCAAAGATGATCAGAACTCGATGGAACTGAAACACTTAGGGTGAAGCTGGGGCTTCAACAAGGAAACTCCTGGTAATTGTATGCTGTCATTAAATACTGGAACACTTAGATAGAGCTTCATTATCTTTGCATTCGAATCCATCATAAAGTTTTGAAAAGGACAGGATCGTGTTTAATTGGAATCTTACCTAATGTCTCAGGTTCCATGCTGACAGTTTCCCCTGTCATGGGGAAAAGGGTTAAAACTGTTTTATACACCTTGTCTTGTTCAAAAGTGTTTCCAGTGAAATAGACTGAGAGAAAATCACTCTCGGTTCCTACATTTATTGCATGCCAGAATGCAACATCTTTCAGACAAACTGTGAAACGAAGGTTGTTGTACATATAACCGTTCACACCTGCAAGAAAAACATGGTCATATTTCTGTTGGCTTTTTTTATGCTGTGCCTCAAAAACCACTTAAATATTTCAAAGTGAAACAGGATATTACGCTTTAATGATTTATATCTTAATCATAGGTGACAGCTCTTCAGGTTTTGGGGAATCCCCAAGATGTGTATCATTCCCAGTGCTGCTAAACACCCACATTATAACATTAAAAAATATGAACTTAACATCAGTCATTTCAAAAAGTCTCTACATGCATTATTAGTGAACTAATGACAACATGTCAGCAGTACAAAGACTGTAGTAATAAACCAACAAATTGAAACAATTTTTTCTTGTTTACAACATATAAGCAGTAGTCTAACTATTCAAAAAATCAATTGCAAACTACTGTACATTATTAGATACCACATAATAAAAATAAAACTCTTGCACAATGATAAGCCTGCGCATAGCAGGCCCAATTGCTAGTCTGGTATGGTACTAGAAATAGTTTTTGATATTTAATATCTGTTAAGTTGGTTGAACTGACACTTTTACTTCTCTTGAAATATTTCTAATTTACTCCTAAGTGAAAATCTCACATACTGTAGCTTTCTGGACATGACTCAGAAAGGAAATGTATCATTGAACCACTGAGCAACACAGGCAGCACACTAGCCTATGAGATGATGAATAAGAAAAAAATTAATACTGAAACATGTGTTGTATAACATGTTGCATGTGGAATTCATATTTTAATTCTGAGTGAAATATTAGTAAATCGCAAATGAAACCAATCTTTATATCAATCTGAACAAGTTTTAAGAAATATTTTAGTCAAAAATAATTACTAAATTATACCTACTGTACATCACATTAGAGTTATAAAACTCTGGATCTGTTAGATCAGTACTGGAAGGCGACTTGCAGAATTTCTGAATGTTTTCATTGATATACCAGCTCTTGTTTTCATCGAAAATGGAAAACATCAAGTGTCTCTCTCGATCTGTTGATATCTGGCAAAAAGCAACACAGAAAAAATTCAGTCACATTTTCAGATTTTCACATTCACGCCAAAATATTCTTAGATCTTTTCGTCCAGTAGCCTGTGCCTTCAGAAAGAAGATATTATGCATTTCAAAATTCACTTTGAAAAGACATGCATTCTGGTCTATGTTTAGAAGAATCATAATTACTCCTTACCACATTGCCTCGCATGTCAAGGGTTTTCTTGGAGCAGATGATCAGTGGTCCCAAGAGCCCTGATGCTGTGTCCCGGATGGGGTCAATGGTGCTTTGGTAGAACCGGGTTAGGCACTGAGGGTCTGCCTTGGTTGGCCCATCTTCAGGGGTTATTTTCCACACGTAGGCGAATGTTTCATTAGGCTGTACGGCATAACTCCTAAGGTCCTTTCCTTTAATGTTTACCAGAACCTCAGTCAACATACAGTATGATGTTCTCTTCAAAATAACATCCAATATATTTTTACTTCAACCAGCCATGATAAATTATTTCTTTTGGAGAAAAGAATTACACTGGAAAAGGAAGCAGCTCCACCAGTTCTTATTACTCAAAATGGCCCCCTGTGGAACTGAGTTGTCTGCTTTTTGCTGACATTCTTGATAAACAATGAACAGAGAATACAATATTATCTACTGCATTTTGTCGCATAAGATCCCAAATTGCTTCACAAACAGTAGAGAACACACCGAACACACCACTGAAATGTAGTATCCACATGGATAAAACATGTAAGGCATTCTGTGTTAAAAATCTCACTTCAGAATTGGTCACATGGAGAAATTAGAAATTGCTTCACAGACTGAATTTAGGTCACTTATAATAAACCAGAGCAAAGCTGGCTTTAGCCAGAACAATGGTGTTTAATGTCCCTACTCTTACAAACAGTGTCATCGGACCTTTCATGACCAGGTAGTGAAAATGTTGGTTTTATGTCTCATCCAAAGGTCAGCACCTTCTATAGGACAGAGTGTCTTTAACCTCACCTATCAAACAGAGGTCCTGCCCTCTGATTTTTTATTTTAGTTAAATAAATATTTTCAATTCAAGACAAGTAGAGTAATAACTGCTGGCCTTGGCTTCTGAACAGAAAGGGTCCTACCCTTTAACGACTCCTTTTCCACACGTGGATGGATGCTGATGAGCCCTTGAGGGTAGATGTTGAAAGGGCGACTGGCTAGGTTCTTAAAAATGATCTGAAAGTTATTCAGCAAATGAAATTACACTTTGGAAACAAGGTAAAACATGTAAAAGTATGTAATTTATTAGCTTTTTTCTATCTCTTTCAGGTTCATAGAATAGAAAATGTCTGCCAAGTACAGTATGTATGCCTATATAGTTGATTTTTTATGCTAGGTTTACAATACTTAGTACAATCTATATGAAGTCAGACTGAAAATAAAATAAAAGTTTTTATGGTTGATAATATAGTGATAGAGTGTGCTTGAAGTATGCTATACAATAAAGTATACATTTATCTTCTGTATGCTAGAATTAGAATTTAAAATGACAAATTATAATTTACCTCAAATTCATCTTCAACTTCTCCTCGTAAAACAGGCCCCACAATTCCCTTTTCTCCTACTGTAGCTTTAAGCTTACTGAAAGTTTTATCTTCATATTCAAAATAAGCAGCTTTCTTATACTGTTTTCCTATGCGATGTGGACCTCTCTCTAAATACTCAGATGACAAAATTCTGGAACACAAAAACAGACTTTTACTGTAGAATCCTACAGTATGTGCCAAATAATAATAATAAAAGACAAACACATTGCTGCTGCTCTGAGCGCACCCAGTAAATTTAAAAGTTTGAGAATAAGAACATCTTTTTCAACAAAATATGAGGGAGTTTCAATAATTAAGGTAATAATCATTCTTACGGCAATGCATTCATTCATATAAAGCTGAAAATAACATATATTTTTTGTTATACCAATAATTTTATCAAAAGTATAATGAGTCCATGATACAAGTTGCATATTTTCATATAGTTTCTGAACCTTTCTATTACTGTAGAAATATTGTATTTCTGCAAAAATCTATGCCAAATTCCTAAAGTCAAGACTCAAATATCTGCTTTACTTCCTGATTCTCTTGCTAGACAGGTGCTTCATTGAGAAGCCAAATAAAAGGAAATTGTTGAAATAAGTAAACTTGGTGTTCAGAAAGAGTATAATAATCTTCTTGTTGCCTTCATTGTAAAATAATGAAGTACAGATTAGCTCCTGTGAGTTATTTTCTAAGGAAAGCTGGTTAAATGGGCCCGGAAACTGGACTTTTGCAGACATCACTGAATATCAACTGATAATATGGTTATAACCAGTAATATTTTTTTTCAGAACAAAGTAGACTGGTATCAGTATCAGTTCCACAACGTGCCTACCTGTCTTTTTCACTGGGGGTCTGTGGAGCATAATCCCAAATTACTTCTTCAGCTGCTATGTAATGCACCCATTTCTTGGGTTTTAGTTTTGCTGAAGATCGTATTTTTGCCTGTGGATTTGTGACGTCTATGACAATAACATTAGACAGACTTTCTATGTCAAATTCATCTTCATCAAAATCATGGCTCATTTTTCTCACCATCTTCTCCTCAGGACAGTTCTCCACACTGAAGTATGCACTCATGCCAGCTTTAAAGAAAGCAAGTTGAAAAAAAGGGTGGTTATGTACAGGTAATATCAAATACTCAGGGCTTTAGCCAAGATATTTATACTGGACATAGATGTAAACACTGAACCCACAACTCTGGTGCCACAACTCTCTCTCTCTGTACTGATGTCATTTTGAAAAATTAATTTGAAAATCCTCACTACTTCACTGTGTGATTCAAACAGTCCTCAGTGTAATTCAGGATGTAATGAAGATCTTCATCTAAACCAGTGGTCTCTAAGCCCAGTCTGGGAGAGTCCCAATCCAAGTCCCAAACCTTGTATGTTGTTATCTTATCTCCTATTTTGAAGATTAAAAATTATTTTAAGTTATTGATTAATTAAGCAGCTTTTTGAAGGGAATGTTGGTCCTTAAGGGCTGTAGGGTATTCAGATTTGTGTTTAAAAGTAAATCTACACCGGTGGCACAGTGGCACAGTAGTTAGCAGTGCTGGGTTTTTTGGTTCATCTCCAAACCTAGGGTTCTATCTGTGTGGGGTTTCTATGTTCTTCCCCTGTTTTTGTGGATTTTTTCTTGGTGCTCTTTTTTCCTCCCATAATCTAAAAAAAACAAGTGGTACTGTAGGTTAATTGGCTTTTAGGACACTAGTTCCAGGTGTGAATGTGTGTTTGTATGTGCTTTGCAATGGACTTGTGTCCTGTCCAGGGTGTACCCTGGTTGTTGCTGTTTTTGCAGAGATAGGCTCTCGCCCCCTGTGACCTGGAAGCAGATCGAAAATGGATATATGGAAAGGATAGTTCATATTACTTAATTTAATACTTAAGCTAATTAAGCATTTACAATTATTTTGTATCAATGATTTTTAAAAATTAATGACTTTATAGGAACCTAAAGAACATGCTTGACTGTAGTTTTCCTGATCTCAGACATCAAGGCTTATCTTTCATCACAGTTGTTAAAGAATCTTTTTATCTAGCTACAGTAGGTCTTTTAGTAACAGTATCATTTCTTGCTTTTTTGTTTTGGTCTACAGTATCTTTCAGCAATACAAAATATAGTGTTTGAAAAGGTTTCTTAGTGTTGACGGCCAGGAAATGTGAAGTGTTGCACAATGTTGAGAACAGCCAGTAACTTTCAGATCTTTTGATCTTGAATGCTTTTATGTTATGGTGCGTTTTTTGTCATCAGATGCTTTTAACATTTTAACATCACAGATGCATAGGATCGATGTTGCACAACAAGAATTTGGTAAGATTGTGATGTCATGGGTCATGGACCAATCTTTTGTCTTTCTTGCCCAAATGTCCTGTATAAGGTGGAGCAATAGTGTGGTTGTTTTTCAGTATTACAATATTGGGGGGAATCCCAAGTGTCTTATCCAGTAGAAGGCACTTCTACCTAAGTGCAGGTGATCCAGACATTGCAAGATTGGGTCATGTCATGTAGATCATTTTCTTGGTTCCAATGGAATTGTGACCCCTGTGAGTTCCTGTGTGCCTGCAGGCTTCTGCTGACACATCTATATGTCATGCCTCTTCACACAGTGAACCACTTATACATCATTGAAGGGCTTGGAGCATGTCCAAAAATAAATAGTTTAAGGGGTGGGCAGAGGAGCAGGGAAGCATTTTTTCATTCTCCCCATGTGGGTACAGTTGTCATTGCTGTCCTTCTGAGCCAAGATGTAAAGACACAACAGGCAAGTCCAGACTAAAAAAAAAAGGCAATTCTACATTTTTCCAAAAGAAAAAATAAGGTTCTTCTGTAACTCATCAGTGCGATCTCACTGTTTTACTATTTTAATAACAGCACACAATAATATTAGTATTTTCCATAGTGTGTGTTTCCCAAGCCTGGGTGAATCCCAATGTACTGTACCTTGTTGGTGAGAGTGTATCTGACAGTATATAAGGAACTTCCCAATAGCCATAGGTTTCATCTCTGCTGTGGTGAAAGTCAAGGATGTGACATCCAAGGTCATTTTCCTGTGGTTATTCACTTGCAACGTGTGATCCTGGAATCGAATTGAATGGATTCCTGGTGTGGTACCCATGCCAATAAAATGCCAAACGATTTTCTTTTTTAGGCATGCTTTAAGACCTAAAAAATAAGAAGGTAAAGCATTTTGCATTAAAAAAACAGTATTAGTATTTTAGAGATTTATGTGAATACAGTACTTCACATTTTGCAGATGGTTTGAAACACCATTTGCAAAGATTCCAGGGGAGAGGACAGGACTGTTCATTCTTCTTCACTATAATCCTTTGATTCATTAATATCTTTGCACCACTGAACTGCTGGAAATAGAAACGTAATATGTATTAATCCCTTAAGCCTTAGAAAAGCATAATTAATAAAGAAAATGAGTTTGAATGCCTTTAGAAGTCTAATTTAATACTAAAGACTAAATAATAGAGCCATAATATCTACATACAATAAATAATAATTTATACATAAATTAAGAACATTAAAATTCTCTGTGAATAAGAAGTGGCCCTATCATGCTCATTTCATTCTGCCTTATTCATATAATCATCAGTGGTCATGCTAGAAAGAAACTCACACAAGAAATTGACTATTTAGTGTAACCAATTAAACCTACTTTGCATGTGAAACCATTACAGACAATATTACAATAATGGAAGTAGATCCATTGTTATTATATTGTACATATTGGTTTTGCATGTATAATCATCTCAGATATCATCTTATTCATATAACTGACTGAGATGTTAATGACAGATTAAAATAAAATAATTAAATATGACCCTCCAGTTTGGTGGAACTGAGGAAAGAGTGCAGAAAATGGTAAGAAATTTATTTCACAAGACCCACAGCAAAAGAACCACAACAGGTTGAAAGCAGTTATAAAGGTGAAGGAAGGGCAAACAGACCATTGAAAAAAATTTGAGGATAACCTTTACTCTACTACAGTGCCATTTTCTACTCCAGGAAAACTTGTTTATTATATCATCATTACAGTCTATTTATATTTGTACAGTCACTGTGAATAGTGAATACTGTTGGAGAGTATTTGAATACTTAATACCCTTTGCAACATATATGCTCTCACATGAGTGAGTAAATGTTGGACAAATTGTATGTCTGCATATAGATATTTTTTCTCATATGGGAATCCATTCTTTAAAAATCCTAAAGTGTACCTAAGGAAATAATTGTAATCATAAGCTTTCAATGGCATGGAAAATTCACATACAGTACCAGGCAAGGAAGCGTTGACATATCCATTGATAGTGTGATACTGTTTTTGAACTCTGGGTCTTAGATTCTGGATTTTTTCCTTGAAGGTCTCTCCATCTCCATACCAGCTTTTTGTTTCATCAAATAAAGATAAAAGCACAATGAACTCCTGAACGTTTTGGTGTCGATCAGTGTTTAGTGTCCCTGTATGTCAATATTGAATAAGCGAAGAAACAATTAAAAAAGGAACAAACTGACATTTTCCAATCAAAGTCCAGAATAGTTTTGTTTACATTTGATCATTTAAGAAAACATAACATACCATCAGAAAAAGAAAGAGTAAAAATATTTGTCTAGATTGTGAGCTACAAGACACTATCATCATAGTAAACAGAAATGTGATGATCTCGTTAGGCCTTTTCAATTTCTAAAATTCAGCTTTTCCACCAGCAATTGTTGTTTTGTGCAATGAAATTTGAAATATATATAATTTATATAAAATGTTTAAGTTCAACAATGTAATAATGATGAACCTGCAAGTCTCCAATTATCCAGAAGTGCCAATATGTAGGCATTTCATTCTACACAGTAAATAAAAATGGGTAAGAGAAAATCTCAGTCATGTCTTTGCTACATTATTTCAATTTACAGTTTTACAGAGCCAGCCATTCACACCACCAGCTACACAAACAGAGAATTGTACAAAAATGCTACCATCCAACAAAGATTGAGATTCAATCACATCATGATTAAGTACAGTTTTTATTCTTTGGTTCACTTTTTTTCATCACATTTGTTACAATGCATTGTCCAAAGAGCATATCAAATGCATTGTCCAAAGGCCATATAAAAGATGAATACATTTCTTGAAATTTGATTAGTGTTGTTTTCAGAAACAAACCCACCATCTGGGTTTTAATTGGCTTTTCATAAAACAAACCAATCGTAGTAATGAGAAAAAAAAATTATGTTCTCTGTGGTGAGTTATTTCCTGCTGTGACAGATGACTTTCTGTCAAAAGACCTTTTAGAATAATAGGTGATTGCTCATTTTCTCTCACGGGGCTGGTTCTGGTGTAGATGGTCCTGAACATCATTGCCCAATACTGTCACACATGGTGGATGTCAGTCCCTCAGTTTTGAGAACCTTAATAGTATTTAGCTTACAGCAGCTTACCTGATTTGCAGATGAGTAAGGCTCCGATGAGACCAGAATTGAAGTCCTTCACAATGTCTACATGTGAAGAGTAGGAGTAAGTTAGACAATCTGGATCCTCTGGTGTGGGACCAATGGTAGGTGCAATATCCCAAACATAACGGTAATAGGCCCCAGGAGCTACAATGTCATCCTCTTTCTCCTGTGTGGATGTCTCATCATTATAACCTGCACCTGGATGATAATGACAAACAAGGCAAGGACAAAGATTACTTACATTAGGCATCATTGGTTCGTTTAAACACTGGAGTTCATGTGTGGTTTACCAATGTTCAAAGAATTTTTCACACATTTTCTTTGTCCTGAAGCAGTGCATTTTTTACAAAGCCATATAAATATTGCAACATGAGTGACTGGGGTTGACACTGTGACATACAGCGCAAATAAATAATTTTTAATGTACAGAAATGGCTATTACCAACCGAACTGGAAACTCAAAAAATAAAAGAAAGGAGAGCAGAACAATCTATTTTGCTGCTGTTCAATTTGGCGCGAATGGCACGAATGCTGGCACGAATACACACGCATGAATACTTCACTTCATTTCTTGGGTGACCGCACAGTGCCCCCTCTCCTTCCTGGAGATATAGCAGCCCTAACCCCAGGGTGCCTCCCTGCCAAATGTCGGGTGAAGAAATTACGATTGCTACAATATACAGTAAATGATATATGTTGAAAAAAAAATAATCTGTTATTATCTCAAAATATCATAAACAGGGCTGTAAACACAGCAAAAGTCACATGGTTTTCCTAAGAAAATGACATTGTGGGCCAGTGTCCATTCTTAAAGACCTATATGATACAACTGAACACATACCTGTTCCTGTAAACGACAGAACTGGTAAATCGCATTGTTTATGCTGAAACAAGAGTGCACTTGCTGAATGTACAGTAAGTTTAAAAAATGAACAGGTGGCTTGAGCCTTATGGCCCAGGAGTATTGATTTGAGCCTGGTTTAGTTGTTAAATTGTGGTGAATAATTGTCTGGGAATGGGTGTGTTAGATTCTTTCCAGGATTTCTTCATTTGGTTCAGTGACTTTTGAGACTTGCTGAGTCTTTGCAATTTTGCAGCAGTACCAAGGAACTGTCCAGCTCTTCTAACTCTCACATAGAACCCTATGAAGCTTGGATTTGGTCAAATGGGTAATGTCTCTGACAAGTGGGCACGGAACACCTAACAGCCCATCTATGAGTCTTGTAGCAGATGCTATCTTTAAAGAAAGAGAATAACTACAGAAGAGATAAGTGATCTACAAAGCTCACCCTCTGATTGTTTCCAATAGGAGATCCCAATGGGATGAACACTGTAGGGACGGGAAGCAAAATTCTTAAAGTGAACTACAACTTTGTCCATGACTTCAGCAGCTATCACTGGACCTTGAATTCCTATGAAAAAACATAGTTTGAGAATACATATGTCACTTAGTCTCAT